GGGGTCTGCATGCCCCAATTAATACATTTTTCACAGAAATATCAACTGGTCCATTAAAATATTTTTTTGAAGAAGTTCTCTCTTTTATTCTTCTGCGACGATTAAAACACAACCGGGAAGCCGCTAGGTTTGAAGTTCCTTCCTCCTCTTCTACCAGCAGGTGGGGCCACACATCAACCATGAACTTGCCCAGGTCCGCTGTAAATGTGCAATTCGTACTAGTACTTGCAAGCATATCCCTGTGCTCTCTGTGGTGCACACAAAGACTTTTTCAGTAACTACCATCCTGATTTTACCACTGTGAAAAAAAAACGCTCTGGCTCACTTTACTGCATCTTGAAAATATCTTTGTTTTCAACAGTTATAAAGCAAGTGGCAAGAACTTTAGTTTTCATCTGGCAGCTAGAAATTTGACCGGTACAGCAAGTAACATAGCCACAAGCAGCTGGCAAGGCTCTCTGGCAGGAGCCTAACCCATTTTTTCGTTAAAGTCAGAAGCAACCCACTTGTCATAACTGCCCTGTAGTCATGAACTTCGCAACTGCAGCAGGACAAAGGCTTATGTTCAACCTGGGGTTTTTACAATTAATCCAAGGGTTCTGGCTTGAATGGCAAATACATTTACCAAATGAGATAGTGACTCATTGCTTCACCCCATAATTTCCTTTTTCCATTTGCCTAAATCAGGAGAGATGATGACTGTTTTCTTCTCAACGGAGGCTCCAGGCTCACTGCATTCCACTCAGTCTTATGTCCCCTAATTTACAAGTGTAAGTAATTTTCAGAAATGCAATCACTGTACTGGCTTTATAGCAAAATTAAAGAAACAAATCCTACTGCATATTCAGTTCAAACATGCACAAACAGTTTTACGCTGTCAGTTTGGATCTTTGTCAAACATTGCATAACCTGGTCCCTGAAAGGAAGAGTTTCCAAATGTTTTGTGTCATTATCTTTGTCTCATCTGCTGATCTGAATCTGTTCTAGAAGGAAGTCTAAGGAAAGGTCTTTTTTGCTTGCTTGTTGGTTTTTAAGAGAATCTATGTTACAGTTTGATCACAACAAGGAAGAGCTTTGGACTATTTTCAGGCTTTAAACCAGAAAAATGGCACAAAGTTCCACATACACAACCCTTTCAAGTTACACAGGAAGTTGCAAGAAGCTCCAAAACATCAAAACACACAAATTATTCATATAAAGATCTGGTCTGCCCTTCTGCAGTCTGTCCTTCATTTCCAAGTGGGAATTTAGCATTCCAAGTTAAATCTGAAAGTGTTTCTGTTGATCAAGCAAAGCTTTATGCTCTAAAGTCTGCTTAAGATCAGCTTTCACAAACTATGTAGAGAAAGAATACCATATGAACCAACTCTGAATATATGCAGCTGTATCAGATCAGCTGAATCAAAGTGCACAAAACTCAGCTGGACTCAGTACAGCTTACGCACTTTTCATTTTCAAAGAACTGGCTGAGACAGGGATAAATGAGAGGAACGAGCTCTATGTAGCTCTAATTTAAAAATAGCATTTCAAGAAAAAAAAACAAGATCTTTACTGGTTCACACAAACTTATGTTTAGTGAAGGGCATAAAGATTACCCAGTTCTGGGACTCCACTCTTGCAAGTGCCTTGACCCTTCTAGCAGCAGTCAGTCACCCTTGCCTGGTGGGAGAAGAAAACTGGGGAAAAGATAGGTTGGGCCAGTGAGAGCTTCACACCAGCAAGAGGAATTAAATCTGCCTTGCCATAGCTTTGACATGTGCCAGGCCTGAAACTGCTTCCTGGGGCACTAGAATTCCTGGGGCACTTGTATCCCATTTCCTTTTGTATCTTTTCAGATTAAATATAATTAAAAACAAAAACAAAACAACACAAAAAAACAGACCACCAAAAAAAAAAAAATTCACACCCCCCCCCCCCCCCCCCCCCAACACAAATTCAGACTAAATCTAGTTCTGTATTGACATGGGTAAGGGTAAGACAAGCAAAAAGCAACAGTCTTAAAATTTTATTCAAGGAACTCCAGTTCTGATCTTGACTGATAGCTCTGGAAATTTGAATGGGTCATGTTAAAAATCTGGGGAAAAATCTCACCTAAGTGTTGTAACAAATAAATAAAGGTTTTACTAGAACTTGAAACCACTGGCAGTTTTATTCTGTCTCAAATCTGCTTTTAACATGTAAAGAGCTACCTATTTGTAAGTAAGAGTGTGACTGCATAAGACAATGGCCTGATGAGCAATCCTGCCCATGTTACTAGCCTCATTGACTGCAAAGCCTGTTCAGATGCCTATGATTAATTGCATATGAGTACTGCAGCATTATGAATACTGGCAACACTGTGCCTAAACATTTCAAATTTGATCTAATAAAACAATCTGGACATTGATGAGCAAGTGCTGAAGCTTATCAAAGCCAGGCAAAAAAAAAAAGCATTCAGAAGAAATCATTCAGTATTAAAAAGTATTGCAATGGTTCCTAAGTATTTTCTTATAAATAAATCTATGTATTGATTAAATTAAAAGAATTCATAGAATCTCAAATTAAGTTTCTGATATTCTCATTCAACATACACACAACAGGGGTACATTCAGAATTGACTCTTCACAGAATGAAGAACTAAATGGATTACAAATAACTGAGGTACATTTAAGAAGTCTGCTTCCAGTTAGCCATTAATTTGTCATTTTGATTCACAGCAGTTTCAAATCATGAAGTACTGAAAATGTAAACTTGACTGCATTTGGTCATGCAAGTTTCATACTAGGCATTAATTTATTTGAAATATACTCTAGGGGTGTAGAGAGAAGTGTCATCCTAGGAAGAATCTTCTGGCCCACTGCCCATTATGTTGGCTGCTGGACAGTATTAACTGTCCTATTCCCTGCACCAAATCTTATATACAAATATAATGAATCCACCTTGAAAGTGAAACGTACATTGCTACATTATTCTTTGTCCAAAATGTATTTCCAGTTGCACCTCTCTTTTCACCCTAGGTATCATTCTGTATCATTCTGCTCACTTACAAGTATCACCTTTGTTTTTTATAATGCTCTTTTGGTGCAACATTTCTGAAATTTGCTTCTAAGTTTTAGAGCACTCTCTGCCTTTTTACTGTAAAGTAAAAAGATATGTAGAGACCACTGTTTTAAGTAAACATACATTACTTTAAAAGTAATTAAACCTAACTCTTGAGCTATTTGGAGTTCCAATGTCAATATTTCCTCCAATCCAGCTGAGGGGGCTCTAATCCTAGGGTATTAGTGAAGGTGCCTATCCTTTTACATGAACCTTAAAATCTTTAATTCAAAAGGAGTTATATGAACTTAGCTAATTTTTTTTTTTTGTCAGAAAAAAACCCAAGGCTGGATTGTAAGCTGATTCTTAAACATTTCAGAGCATGGTATGATCATGTGTGTAGACTCCGACTGCCAGTCGAATTAACACATTTTCTTGTTTCAAGTCCCCACAGTCCCAAACTATTAAAAATAAACATGCTGTATATAAACAGTACTCTGCCTAGAGGCAATTTCAGTTTAGGAGAGATCTAGTCACTAAGGATTGGGGGCACTGTCTCATCCCAGAGAAGTAGAAAAGTCTACATGTAAGCAAGGCTCCCCAGATCTGTAGCAGAATTTCCCAGAGTAACTCCCAGCAGCTGAAACTCACATAAATGTTGGTTACAAACACAGCTCTGGGGCACGCTTGAAAACTTCAAGATTAACACCAGGATTTCCCAGCACAGTGCTGTGGCCAGCTCACAGTGTGGAGCTGTGGAGTATCAAGCAAGTACGAGTACAGAGCCCAAGCAAGTTACAAAACACTACTTTTACATTTGAAGCAGTAAATGCATCAAAGCCTGGGATGCTGGTTACTTCACCACAGCATGCTCATGTAAAGAACACCATTTTCTTTCCACCATCTGCCTCGCAAAGCAGCATTGAGGTGTCTATCCAAATAGCCACATTTATTCTGCGGTTACATACAATGGAAGCAAACATCTCTGGTTTAAGAAAAAAGTCAATGTTACTTAATGGAACATACTAATATACAAGGAATGATCAAAGAAGTAACAGTGTTTCCTTTAAAAAGCAAATAACCCATTTTCAGAATTCATCTAATGTGAAACCATGAGACTTAGGACTAGAGGCTGAGGACTTGAGAAGCCGGGACAGTAAACCTACATCCCCATCTGCCTCCACCTTCATTCTATCATCAGTGTACACCTAGGCATTATACACTTACAGGCAATTCTTGCATGCTTAAAGACACTGCTTCATATGCCAGTTCAGATTTAACTTTTTATCAAGCCCTCATCAACCTAGAAATGCTTCTCCCAGGGAAGACTCTTCTATTAACAGAAGAGTTCTATCAAATTCTGAGGATTAGAAAGCAATATATATTTAAACAAAGGAAATATCTTTGTTTTTTTCTACTGCATGCCCTACTGTCCAAAAATGTTGAATCTGATTTTCTCTTTATCAGTCTGATTTTCTCTTTATTGCGATTCCATTGTTCATTTTTAAATACCCGGTCTTACCTTTAAATGCCACAAGTTAACCTCCATGACAAAGGGCATATTTTTTGTTATTAGCAAGAGGTTTATGATAGGAACATTCATACTGTCAGATTCACCAAGAAGTGTCTCAATAGTGAGTTTGATGAACCACAGAAGGAAATGCTTCCATCAGCTTCTCAGAAACCTAAAATAAATGCTTATTCTCCATTTAAGTCTTTACAGTTGTGAATTATAAGCATACTTTCCAACCTGTGAGATGTACGATCTCTGTGGTGCCTGAGACAAAGCACATTAAATTACAATGTGTGTGAGATAATTACTATGAAGTAGAAACAATTCTTAATTGACTGATGAGCCATGCATTAAAAAAGCTGACCAGCAGGTATCAAACACAAAAATGTAAAGTCAGACAAGTGCATGAAACAAAAATGTTTGAAAAACATGGGGACACGAACACACACCTTCTGAGAACAGTACTGACCTTGTTGCTCACTTTCTGCTTCAACTTTTGCAGGACTTGGTGCTACAGGAAGGGGTCGAGGAGGACGAGGCTTCGGAGTTGGGGGGGATATTTTTTTTCTTCCAATGTACTCTACGTAAGTTCCTGGGAAATCCCCCCTCTCCCCTGTGGTTTCATTAAAGCCATTCAACCAGCCAATTTCCTCAGGCTTTGCTTCTTCCCCTTCACTGAATCCAAGTGCTAGTAAGGTACCTTTATTCACAGTTAATATATCTCCTAAGTGCAAGTCAATGTCTTCTTCTCGCTCTTTTCTGTAGTCATATAAAGCTCTGTATTGATATCCTTCGGCACTCATCTTGGCAAATTATCTAACATTAAAAACTTAAAGTATCAAAATGCAATTGTCCGGTTATATTTTTATGTACAGAGAGATTCAAGATTTATTAACTGGGATAGTAAAAATGTCAATAGCAATGTCCAAGTAATAAAATCCACCAGAAAATCAAAGAGCACCAGAATCTGTCATTTCACTACTGATGTTTTTACTGATGTATTTATTCTAAGTCAATGATTGTTGCAGAAGTATGTGAACCACTTCTTCTATGTATAGCAATATTCTTCCAGTTAGTTCCTTTTCTGGTCTTGCTGGCACTTCTGAGTCTCCGTACTCAAGGTCAGCTGATTCTTGTAGCCGGTCACACCTTCTTAGATGGACTTGCCACAGATTGCCCACGTACCTTAAATATTCTGCCACTGAACTCTCCACATATGCTTTCCCTGGAAAGAGAAGAGAAAACTGGTGAAATGGTTTCAAATTGTCTTGAACTCAATTTTCAACTTATGAGAAGCTTTTTGCAACCCTGGAAGAGGTTCTGCCTCAAAGAAGAGCCCTAAATAACAATAAAATAAAGCAGCTTCACAAAAATCTGCAAGCTAGCGCTTGTGCCTTTAGAAAGGATATACGCCCAATTACTTGAATCAGATTTGCACTCCTGCAATATGGCTTATGGCTACTGAAGCCTCAGAGTGAGGGCTAAACCCTGGAGCTATCCCTCCAGTGCAGTATCTAACCTGGCAGGAAGATCTTATCTCCGCGAAGACACATGACCACTTTTCCCCACAAGAGGTCTCCCAGGAAAGAGGAGGAGCTCACTGTAATTAGCGCAGACCCTCCCCACTGGGTTATTCAGAATAAGCACCACTGCTGCTTATGCAGAAGGTGAGGATGGGTAACAATCCCCCATCCCAAAGCCTATATTCCGAAAACCTATTGGAGGGACGGTATTTTCATGACCTGCAGGAGAACCTAGAAGTCCAAAATGCTTGCATGAGTACCATATTTATTTTTTCTTAAAAAGAGTGTCTTCCCCATTCCCCCATCTTCCTGATGTTTTTAAATGTGTTTATGGTGTAACAGTAGACAAACAATCAGCAACTGAAATGGGCACACCCCGACCACCTAAGCAGCACTAGCAGGAGGGAAGTATCAGGGTGTATGCTTAAATTACACTAAAGGCAAGAGAATACAGGCCTGAACATTTGACTCAAGGTTGCCCGACCATAAAATAAAAAGGAAAAATATGACTAAAAAAAATTTAGAAAACAGTGGCTTAAAGACATATAGAACAGTGAAAGTCTTCCTAAACGTTATTTAAACTGTCACTCATTCTCACCTACTTAAAAAGACAAGCCCAATCATAATCTGAAATGCTACAATGGGAACCCCGAAGTCCTAACTACTCAAAGATGCACTGAAACTCCTAATAAAAGACCCAAGTGGGCTACACAATACCAGCAGGTAAACTACTGACTGTATACTATGTACTTAAGTGTACAGAAAGATGGGAGAGATGGGAGAGACATTCCTTTTTACATTGCAAAGGGACACCAGTAGACAGGGCTGGAACAGGGAACCGCTGACAACTCTTTTCCACACCATTCTCTCTAATGTCTCAGACATCAAGTCCCTGGAACATGACTAACTGACAAGCTAAAAAGTGTTTATAAGAATGCATATGGACTTCCTTTGCCAGTGAATAACCCTTATGCCAAATTTGTATGTGGTTCCTCTTCAGTCCCTGAGTACCTGTGGTCTATTGCACAACATCTCTTGTAACAGAACACAGAAGAAAATCTTAGAAAGTTCTTGAAGAACTTGCTTATCATCCCTTACAACCATTTTTTGCTGCAGGAAAGAATTACCTGGGCTTGAATTAGACTTCTCATTTCAAAAAGCCTACACACAAGTATTTATTTTAATAACTTGAACATCTATCCACGTGGATTAAGCATCCAGCTCCCACCAAAATTTTAATGAGAAATTTCTGCAGCCACTTCTGAAAAACCAAATTATGCTGCTTAGTTCACACTACAAAACATCACAGACTTTGCATTTAATGCAAAGAGTTTTGCTTATATTTCATCTGCCTCTTCTACCAGTGGAAAGTGTACAGACAAGAACTAGGGGGGGGGGAAGAGGAAAAAATCTAAAGCACAAGTATCAATTAAATAGCACGGAAGCCTTTTCAAAAGCATGGGCTCCTCCCATTTCATATAGCAAAGGAACAAATACACTTACACACCTTAGAGCTAGGTTTTGGAGCTAATCTAAATGTTTCCAATCAAAACCAACTATGCACAGCAAAACCTGATAGAAAATTACCATTTTGACTACATTAAATATTCGGAAATATTTATTTTCTTTTTAAAGAAGGTTTGACAAGTGCTCTGCTACAATTACTTATTTCACTCCTACTGCCTACGGGCATTTTGGCAGTCAGTGAAGCTAGTCTTCTAAACAGTGCATAATTTAACTGACTTGACCTACTCCTCTTATCTTTTATTATCAAATGTATCATAGCAACTTTATGGCCACATGTTTAAAATAAGTACTTGTGTCTCTTATGCTTGGGCTGACAATACAGAACTGGAAAAGTTACAGCAACACAAAAACTGTTTCTGACAATTTTTTAGTGTCCTTTAAAAACTCAAAACCTGAATCAGATAGGACAAAAGGTCCAACTTCTTTGCATGTTAGAACAAATCAATGCAGTTGCAGCAGCAAAGTTTCCCTAAATCCAGTTTCTCTGGGGCTCAGAGCTGCAGTACTGGCTCAAACTCACTTCTCAGCACTGCCCTCAGTAGAAGGCTATCAGCATCCTACCTCCTGCCTAATCTATGGTTCATGTACGTGGAGACACCCCTGTGGGTGAACCATGCTGAATTTCTTTGATTTATGCCTTTTTCTACTGTCACTATCTGAAGGATTTGGAGATGGAGGAAGACTTGGACTCCAGCCTCAAAGAGAGGCCTAATGCAGAGACAGACACCATTTCCCCACCTCAGCCTGGTAGCACTGCAGCATCTCCAGAGGAGTCTCTTTGACAGTTCTTTACTTACTGCCCTGTTAAGACCCTGTATAAACAAATTCCCTTAACTCCAAGTGAAGATACATGGTCTCTACCCTCACATATTTTCACTCAAATTCACTTAAGATGCCTAGGCTTAGCTCAGAGGCCATCTTAAGTACAGGGAAAAAAACAAACCAAACACTTTAGGCAAGAAACATTGCTGTATTTGAGATGATGTATTACTGGATTTCTATTTGGCTGGTGCAATGGAAAAGAAGGAAGAAGTATTGCAAGAGAATTAAATGCTCATTTGTTTTTTATTTACTATCTAGGAGCTTGATCCCAACGAAAGATTCCTGAGTTCAGGCAGAATTCTGGTCTCTCAGCAGAATGGTTTCTGTTGGGCATTTAAACAGCTCTAAAATTTAAAATTCAACAGATGCAAGAGATGTTTGTAAATTTAAATGGGAAAGGAAGGGGACATGAAAGCTTCCCTTCCATTCCTTACTTATCCCCCTATTAAAAATGATGTCTGGCTCCTACTTCACTGGTACCCAAGCATTTCCTCCCACACTAGCTAGCATTCCTTTGGTGACCGAGAATAAAATCTTCTGCTCCACAAATATACAATACTACCAGCCCAACCAGAGGGGTATGTGCATGTCACTGACATGGCTCCCCTATACAAGGCAGCAAACATTTTCTACACCTTTATATTAACATGTTTAACAACTGTATCTCCTTATACTGCCATCTCTCTCACGTTTACTCCAAAAATCCCTAAAGGAAACAGTGCCTAACACCACTTTCCTTCCATTGCGATTATGATCTTTGTCAACAGAAGAGAAGACAACCATACTTAGGGAGGCACTGAAGTAACAAAAATTGCAGCGTAAGTGGGGAATTTGCTCGGATACTGACTCTTCTCCCCACTAGGTGTCTACACACCTGTAACTCAGGCTGCATTATCGCTTAAGTAGGATGCTGCCGCTCTCCAAATGGAGATGACCAAGGCAAGTACCACATCGGAAATGACTTTCTGCAATAAAGAGAAGTCCATGATACATCGTGAAAAAGGAGATACACACTTATAATATCTCTATAATACTTCCAAACTTTGAAAAGAGCGATTTTGAGCTTATGGAGATTCTACTGCTGACCACGTTCAAATACATTGATTCGGAAAACTTGTCTCAACATACAACACAAGTATACTAACTGCACTGTGAGCACTGTAAAACACATCCTATTCTGAAACATCTCAAAGACTCTATATTGGCTGCAAAGCTATGGAAGGCCGCAAGGCAGCATCAAGATCATTTCAGAAAGTCATTAAAATAGTTATAATCATAATGTAAAAACAAACAACCACCAAAAAAAAAAAACAAAAAAAGGAAAAAAAAACACCTAGGAAAGCAGTACAAACTGAGGTTAACTCCTGTTAAGAGGCCGGCAAGTTAACTCCTCCGGAGCCCTGCACCAACACGCTCCCGTGCAGCAGCCCTCCCCGCAGAGCGGCTGCTTTCCAGGGGCCGGCGGTCGATACCCGCGCCCCGGCCCCGCTTCGGGGGCGCAGACTCCCCACGGCCAGGACAGAGCTGCACGGAGACGGCGCTCCCCCACCCTGGGACGGTGGCGGCGCCGCCGGGACTGCCCTCAGCAGAGTCCGGAGGGCGAGCAGGCTCGACGCCGCGTAGTCCGCATCCCCCCCCGGCGACAGTCGCCCCAGCGCTTCCTACGGATACCCCTTCCGCCTCCTCGGGGAACGCCAGTCGGGCGGGAGCACCGGGCCGGCTCTCCATGCCTCACGGTGTGGCCGGAGCACTCGAGCAGCCCCACGGCCTCTGTACCTCGCCGCCGGCACTGCGCGCCGCCTGCCCAGCCCGACCAGGAAGCGCCGGGCCGGGCCGCCCCCGTCCGCGGAGAGAGAAGCTCCGCCACCCCCGGGGCTCGTCCTCGGCCGCAGTGGAGCGGCTCGCCTGGGCCTGCCGCGCCGGAGGGCTCGGCGGCGCCACTGCTGGCCCCGGACGGGGGAAAAAGTTGCACGGGAAGGCAGTGCTGCCGCTCCTTCTGTTAGCACACAAGGGCGGCCGGTGCCTGCGTCCAGGGCGGCCGCACGGCTCAGCAGCGCCCTGCCGTACTCCCTTGCCCCGGCAGCCGCCCGCGGGGCAGCGCCAGATGAGGCGGCGGCGTTCGCTTTACCTCAGTAGCGGCGGCAGCAGCAGTAGCGGCGCCGGCGGCAGCTGCAGCAACCGCTGCTGCAGCGGCAGCACCGTCTCCCTCCAGCCGCCGGGCTCTCCGCGCAGCTCCCAGCCCGGCGCCTACCCCTCCGCACACTCGGACCGCACTCCCCTCAACCGCACTCACTGCTCCAACGCCTCTTCGGCGCCCAGCCCGCCTCCAGCACTGCCCCCGCCCCTACCTCCTCCACGCCCGCCAATCCGCGCCGCCACTGCCCCGCTGCGCCCGCTGACTGACGGAGAGCGAGGGGCGGTCCCCGCCGCAGACCGCCCCCGATCCGGCG